TGGTTTTAAAATGTGTTTTCTCTCAGCATAACTGTAATTATGTCCCTGAGATAGTCATTTGGATCCTGATTTGCTTCCATCTTCTTCTTTTTAAAATCAGATGGAGAGATTTTTTGCATGTTTAAAAACAACTTTTTGGAATTTTTTTGTTTTTAAAACGATGTTTTCTTTTGGGTTAACTGGACTTTTGTCTCTCAGATGGACATTTGGATTGATTTGATTTGATTTGCTGCCATCTCCTTATTTTGTTAAACAGGGTGAGGAGTCTTTTTGCATTTTTAAAAACTTTTTATTTTATTTTTTGGTTTTAAAATTATGTTTTCTCTCGGGTTAACTGGACTTTTGTCTCTCAGAGGAACATCTGGATCCTGATTTCTCGCCTCCTTCCTCTGTTCTTTAGGCCCAGAGCTTCAGAGGCTCCGAGGCTCCCCATTGGTCACCTGTCTGCTCACCTGGTCTGAGCTCCATTGAGCAGCAGGCCAGCACGCAGTCCTTCTCCGTCTTCGCCGCCCTGGTTTCCGCGGCAACGCCCTCCCGGCTCATGGCGGCCCTGGCGTTCACCGCGGCGCCCTGGTGCTGGCGGGAGAAGCAGGTCTCCGGGCCCAGGGCCGCCGCAGGAAGTGATGTCATCGCCAGGGCCGCCGCCAGGACGACCAGGAGGCGGGGCAGAGGCCGGGCGGGCGCCATGGCGACGGGCGTCACGGCGATGGGCGTCATGGCGGGAGGGCTGGTAGCAGAGCAGCTGGACGCTGGTCCACACAAAGGTCCTGCAGAACAACAACCGTCAGTCACATGACCCCCATGAGGCCCAGAATGAGGTTCTGATGAGGTTCTAATGAGGTTCTGATGAGGTTCTAATGAGGCTATGAATGAAGCTCTGAGGAGGGTCTAATGAGGTTCAGATGAGGTTCTGATGAAGTTCTGATGAGGGTCTAATGAGATTCTGATGAGGCTCTAATGAGGTTCTGATGAAGTTCTGATGAGGTTCTAATGAGGCTATGAATGA